CCGCTCTACAGGGTGAGCTAAAGTTCCACTAAAGAATGCAGTTTTCAATTACAGATTTCTGAAGTGGTGTGAGATTTAGCACTTACAGTAACACATTTTATTAAGACTTTATAATAAAGAAAAAACTAAAATCCTGATAGTCATATCTATATACAAATACACAAACATTTTACACATAGCGTGGACATTTTCTTATCATGGGAGTTGGGAGGGGGCTATATAATAAATTAGATGTACACCCTAACTGAAAGACATTTAGTTTGCTAAAATCATTGGGGGGAATGTATCAAAACTGGAGCAGATACAATCTGGAGCAGATTTGCACTGCAACCAATCAGCTTCTCTGTCTCATATTCAAATCTTACCTAAATGCTGCCAATCTTCTTTAGATACTTTCTGTCTAGATACATGCATGGCATTTCACTTTGTAAGAACAGTGGACCATGTCTGTTTATTTGTGTTGAAAAAGCCAACTGTAGTCTCCTTTGGAAGCCCAGGTGGCAGCAAAGCAGGACAACTTGGAGATAGGGACAGAGTGTTGTCAACCAATAACAGGAAGCCTCATCAAGGATCCTCATGGCAGGATCAACTGATATAATTTTTTATGAGAGTTTTAAATTTAAAAATACTGAAAATTGCTTTTGAACTGATATTAACATGTTACAGCTTATGATATTTCAGTGATTGGGTTTACACCAACATAAACCATCACATACAGTGTTTTGTGGAGTATTATTGTTTGCATATTGCCTGACCCACTTTGCAAAGGGTAGTTTGACACAATTTGTCTATTTAGGGGTTTTCTGATGCACTTTTAAAATGTTTTGGTTCATTATTATATAGTTCACAATGGATTTAGAAATCTGAGCTCCTGGACATTCACACCTTTGTGCAGCGGTTAATCCAGTCAGGACTACAAGTCCAATGTATCACTGTTCTTGCTCCATTTGTGAGTATAAGTATTTTTATATATACAGTTTTTGAAATAAAAGGATTATTGCACCAGGTTAGGTGCAAAACCAGTGTTTTCTTTCTTTCATGCAGTTTACGGGATCCCTTGTCTGATGCGGGGCAGCCTACTGGATTTCTGTTAACTCTTTGGGCCACAGGAGGGCTTGTTTGGTTGCATTTGGCGCTGGTCGTATCATCTATTTTTTGTTTTAGAAATAGATCTGCCTTTTTTTCTGTAAGTCCTCTTTAAAACAAGCTTCTCAGCCACCTTTTACACAATGTATAAAAGGTTCAACTCTACAGGAAACTAACGATCTTTTTAAGCTACACTGGTTACAACCATGCAACCTCTTTTACTAACTTTTATCTAAGAAGTTGCCAAAATAAAATAAAAAAAAAACACATAAAATACCTTATGCAAATGTAAAATTGAAAAACATTTCCTCCAAAAGTCACTGAGGAGTACTACTATCAACTCACCTTACCCACACAGGCAGTTGCTGTCCAATTGTTAAGTTTCTCAGGGTCAAGTAATATAGGAGGCTGCCAGCTATGGGAATATATAAATGTGTAGCAGGGTGTTAAAGGAAGCCTACATTTTTTTATTTTATTTATAAGCTCAGCTGATGTTTTGTCTCTTTTTTATGTATATAAAATCTTTACTTTACCAAACGACATTCAATACACAGTGCGCCCATGACACTGGTGCCACTAAGCAATATGGGTTTTCAAAGAGAGAGCACAGCAGTAGTCTCTCTTTAATTGAAACTTCGTACAGAGCCATGCAGAGCAGAGAGAGGAAAGACGACGGGAGGAGGAAGTCTCACATTATTCAGCTGTGTGTGCAATCTGAGCTTGAGCTTTGTAAACAGGCTTTTTTCCCCCAGAAGAGCAGCTAAAGAGGAACTTTACCCTTCACTTTAAAATCACAACAAAGACACCTTTAGAAATTATTAGTAATTGCAATCTACAAACAGAAACTTATAGATAGTTGCAGGCTTTGTATTCTTTGCATGCCTTATTTTAATTTTCCTCCCCATTCGTCTCACAGTGGAAATTTTTACTAAGGGCAGATTAATTCATCTACTTTTGCTTCCTAGAACTCTGGCACATGTGACTAGGACATGTGACCATGCACATAATTTCAGGGGGAAAAATGCCTTTCTCTGAGATCTTGCTAGATTATGCAGTTTGCAGATGAGATTTCCCAGCAATGCACTATGATGTAACCTTCCCAGGATGCATCTTTTAGGCATGGGCTATATCACTAATGCCTAAGAGAACCAGGAAGTGGAAAACAGTAATTGTAAGTAAAAGAATATATGTTTGTTTAACTAATAAATGAAAGAGCTTATATCAGCATGAAGAACTGCATGTTGATGTGATTTTTAGTAAAAAGGGCAAAGGTCGGCTTTAAGATCAGCCTACTAAACTGGTAAAAGAAGACTAGCATTCCACCCTTGTGTGTGGACATTGTAAACATGAAATATTCATATGCAATATCTCATACTTACCTGATAAAAAACATTGGATTTTTTTGGGCTAAAATGTGATATTAGCATTAGGCTGGTGACAGTAACAACAGTGATGCATAAAGATGATAGTTAATATTACATCACCCATGTTTAGATCGTAAATCTTAACCCTGAGGATTGGGACTGCAAATAGAGTCCCAAAACTTTGAGGTCTGAAAGGTGTTAGCTAGGATAGTATATTAAAAGGGTATTGCTAGGAAAGCATATTTATGAGGATTAAAAAAAAATGGCAAACATACTGGAGAGTAACTTAAAGCTGAGAACTCTTAAGAGAGATGGTAAGCATAGTACATGCACATGCTTGATTTATAATGGCCAATGTAAGGTGTCAAAATCAATATTTAGGCAAGGGTTCCATTTGCCACCACCCCAGACATATGGGTAGGAGACCACATATATAACCACATATATACCCCAAAAAAATGACATGCCTGCTGTTATTGGGTCCCTGACACCAAAATTTGGGGGTGACTACTTTAGCAACTCTGGACTGCTAGAACAAAAACACCTTAAAAAAGACAATTAATGTACATTATTCTATGTGTAGGAATCATCAGTGCAAAACTGCTTCTGATTTATTTCTGGAAGTAAAACATTTATAACAACCTCCTCAAAACAACATTGATAAAGCCACATTCTGATCTAAATGTTACACTGGTCTAGTCCTGCAAGGTAAGAACAAAAAAGTGTGCTATAAAAAGGGACTCTACAATCCAGATAAATGAAAATGTAATATTCCCATAGAAGAGTGGACACTTTGCCATATTTGTAATCACATCACAATGTTTTTTTAGCTGCAGCCCCCAGGCATACCCTGCATTTACCCTAAAACAAAGAGGTCGATTCATGAAAGGAGAAGAAACTGTTCTACTTGTAAGGTGAATGTTCACTATATCAGAAAGTGAGACATTAAAGCAAATCTGTGAGTAAATAAAAGCCAAAAACAGCAGTAAATTGTATCTGAGGTGATAAGCTGTCCGAATACACAGTACATTTTGTAGCAGGCTCCTTTCACATTTCTAAACTGTTGAGTCTCTCGAGACTTGGGAGATTCGGGGGAAACCCAACTGCTAACTTGGCAGGTTGTGAGACATATGGCAATATTTCACATTTGTAAAGGGGGTGTCAGTATATTTTAAAGGAAATTTTTAAAAATGTTTAAAAATTCCAATACTCTCTATGACATTACTGGTGCAAATGTTGTCACTGCAGGGGGAAGCAGCTGCGGGCTGAGAGATTAAGGGCTGTTTCACACCATCTCCAGACCGGTGCATTTTTAATTCACACCAAAAATACATACACAGTATTTCCAATGGTTTTAAATGAGGCTAGTTCACACCATTGCGTTCAGTTCCAGAGCTTTAAAAAAAATTGTACAGCAGCATGCTTGCAAAAACACACGTAAGTGCACCAGAAAGTGCTTAAACCTAAAGCAAAACGAATTAAACAAAAAAGCACTGGAATGCATCCAAAAAATATGCATAACCGTGACTGCCGAAACTCATCCAGAACCAGTCTGGAGATGGTGTGAACAAGCCCTAAAAAAGCTTCCAACATTTCCTGGAAGTGTTGGTTTCCCAACAAATTGCACAAACAAGGCCACATATTTATAGATGAAAGGGACCAACTGCAAGTGTTCTTTTTCTATTTTAAGTGCCCAAACTACATTATATTATTTCACAAGCAGTAAAAGAGCTTTAAAGCTTTAACCATATCTTTTAAGTTTTTTCTGAATTTACAAGCATATGACATGTTTGTTTCATAATTACATTAACTTGAAATTACTCTTTTTTGAAAAGTAATTTTTACCTGGTATAAGATTCTTACACCTTACTCTTCTGGGTGCAGCACACCCCTTATCTTTCATTCAGGAAGCACGCACACCCTATTTCTCCTATGATCCCTTGCATGTGCCCCATTGTTGCACTTGAGTGTCTCACTTGCAGAAGTAGTTCTATGGCAATCTATGAAATGTGTACTGTCAGTCAACAGAAGGTGGTGCGGGAGGTGAGTGGATCATATGCCCTTTTCATCATGTGTCGGTGTAAAGAGTGGCTGGATGCAGATCTATACTGCTTGTTTAGGGTGGATGCACATACAGTATCTGTCCATAGAGACACCGCTAGCCACTGTAGTAAAGGAAGTTTAGGTAGATAAGTTTAGCAAACCTACCTATGATGGATGAAAGGCACTGATATGAACAAGCAGTAGCAAACCATATACAAAGTAAGTCCGACTATGTTATTTTTCACTAGGTTTAAAAAACTTCAAAACAATCCATCCCTGACCTCTCTAGCTGCTTGTAATGTAAATTAATTCATCCTCAAAACTAAGATTCTAAAGTCAGATTTCAATCAGTTTCTAAGGGGGAACTAAGAGAAAACTGTAAGTGCAAATGAACTTATAACTAAGTGCTACAGCACATATTTTTTAATGATGGGCCATTACTCTACTTTAACAACATTGTATAAACTTGTACTTGTAATTGTACTATGATGTAAATTATATACTTACTCTTTTAGAGAGCTGTGTATCCATCATGAAGTTATGAACATGTTTCTCTGCTTTGGTAAGTTCTAGCTTTCTTGCGACCACAGCTACAACGAGGGCAGTGCAGCCAGCACCCTGCGTACAAGAACAAGAGATATTCATTCCATGGTTACTTATTAAAGAGACTCTGTCACCAACAAAAGAGAACTTAAACATGCAGTAGCTCACAAGATAAAGTGTTTCTGACAAGTTTGTCTGTCTCTGAATTAATGTTTTCATATAATATGAAATGTGGATAAATTATCCCCAGTACTGAAGCACACAGCAGTGTTAAGAGTCCTGTTAGAGATTTAGATAAAAGACACAAAAGCACTGATGTCCACTCTAAATTACACAGCAATAGCAGCATGAATTTAAAAAGTGAAAGCAATTTCTTCAGTGTGTCACGCTCATCCATGGAACTTGTGATCTTGCCTCTCAAGTGGCAGGCTCATTGTAAAGTAAAAAGGGACAGTAAAATTGAAAAGTTACAAGTTAGGGATGATTTTAAACGTTAAAAATAATGAGGCTTTATATTACTCTATGTCAGGGCAAAAAGGCTTTTTATAAAATCCTCATGTAATGGTTCACACAGACTCTTAGAATCAAAGCTGGATGCCAGTCAGTAGGGGCTGGACTTTTCAATATGCGTCTGGCACCAAAAATAGGTACCTGCAATCTCATCATGACACAAAGTACATTAGCCACATACACAGAACAAATCATCAAACCTACATCTGATCACAGCAATAACATTGTGTTACAATGACTTCTTGTTACAGCTGTCTAGTACTCTATATAATAAATACTGCTGATGGCATATAATAAAAGTATTCATCATGGTAAGAGATGTCCATTTTATGGTACAGCATGCAACAAGACTCCTGGTTGACTCTGAATGTTATCATTTATTTCAAGGGGATTTATAGGCTCCCTTAAGCGGAACGTGACCCACCCAATTTAATGGTTTCCCAAGACAGTTACTTTTAAGGAATGCCAACTGTGAAGGTTGCAGTGGGCTTATTTCAACTCTCAACCGAACTTTCAAGCCTTCAAATGGCTGGTGTCATAGCTGATCACATGTGCAGCACCATGGCAACTGCAATCCAATGCAATAGAGGCTAAGTAAGCACTTTCCTTTGCAGCATAGGATAGGAGGGTGTAGTTTTTTTTTTTTTTTTTTAGATATACAATATATGTAAAAGAAATCAGCTATTTTTCTTGAGTTTATTTTTCTATTATTTTCTACCATATATTCTTCTATGAGTAAATTGTAATGATATATGCATAGATGGGTAATTGGGAAGCCATATTTCCCCACACTGCATATATCTGGAGACACTACAAGTCAGTGGTGGCCCACATGAGGTGGCCCACCTATTAAAAACAATGCACTCCCTGTGTGGCTAATATGCTCAGCAGCTGTTTGGGAAACCCGTACTTAAAAGAATCAGCAGGCTGTCATGGCTGACCTTTTGAAAATAGCCTTTCTCTGATTATAATACTTTCTCATTCCCTGGGGTTGATTTACGGCTGCTCACATTGCAAGGGCATTTTTTCCTTAGGTTAGTGAATGACTTCCATCATCCCATCATGTGCAAGCAAAAATAGTTTTGTTTTTTTTTCAATTTTACTTTTACATGATTGTGTATTCTTTGCAAACTTAATTTTTACCACAGTTACTTAAATAGCAATTGCCCTGCAAAGTCAAAATTCACTTGCAAAGTGAACAGTGTATTTGCCTTTAGTAAATCAATCCCACCGACTCTGCATGGGCATACAGTAAGTGAAATCAGAATGCCTGATCTACATATGTGGACACCCTTCCAATTACTGGGTCCAGGTATTTCCAGTGAAGAACAGTGTTAAATTCTACAGCATACAATGAAGTTTTAAAACATTGTATGTTTTCAACTTTGTGGCAACAGGTCTGTAACAACATGATTTAATACGTTTAGTGTGGTAAAGCTCAAGTTGCCTACACAGAGCCCTACCTCTGTGAACAACTTTGGGATGAATATGATCCAGAACACCTCCTCTAAAATAAGCACCTGACCTCACAAATGCTTTGAAACAAATTCTCACAGAGACACTTCAAGATCTTGTGGTAAGGCCTCCAGGCAGAGTGCAGGCTGTTAGAGCTACAAAGGGGGGAAGATGCAACTCCATAATAATGTCCATCATTTTGGAATTGGAAGCCCAACAAGCCATTATAGTCTGGTGTCCACAAACTTTGGCCATACAGTACACTTGTTGTAGGTCAGTGGCTCCAAGCTTTAAAGACAGGGACAGCCATACAACTGGATACTTCACCAAAAGAGTTCTGCAATGACAGTCTACATAACTTACTCATTACAGGGTTATGTTAAGATATACACAACTGCAGTAATTGAATAATTGCAAATTTATTGATTTCTCCCTGCAGTGGGTACAAATCTATGTATTTCATTCAACAACACAAATGTGGAAGAGCAAGAATGTAAAAATGACAAGAATAAAAAAAAAAAATAGACATATAGTACATGTTAAAAAGACCATCTTAACAAGAATATTACCACTTTGTATGAACTGTATTAAAAAAACATGTTTAGTACCAAGACAAATTGGCGTATCGTGCTTATGAGTTCGGGGATAAATGCGGCCGCCCTTGGCCCGGACCCTACATCCTAGATCCACGCAGGCCTTTGTGCCCCATATTAGGACATCCCCGGATACACTGGTTCACTCGCCAGCGGGGATACAACAGGCTTTTGCAGAGTTTTATACAGCACTTTACAATATAGAGGGGGCAGACCGGGCTTCCCCATCTCAGGAGGACCGGTTGTCGTCCTATATTCAGGAGACTGCTTTACCTGTTTTGGAGGATCCGGTGGCGGAGACTCTGGAATCCCCCTTCACCTTAGACGAACTAGGCCTGGTCCTTGGATCGGTGCCGACGGGCCGGAGTCCTGGTCCTGACGGATTCACTGCCAAGTTTTATAAGCAATACAAGGACGCTTTATCCCCGTTCCTCTTGAGAGTCTTCAATTCTATAGCCCAGGGATCGGAGTTCCCTGCCCAGTCCCTGGAAGCACATATCTCACTCATCCCCAAACCAGAGAAAGACCATACCCTTTGTACAAATTATCGTACCATTTCCCTCCCCAATGTGGACCTCAAATTATTCTCTAAATTGATTGCCAATAGGCTACAGCCCCTCCTCCCCAGTTTGATTGACCCGGACCAGGTGGGATACGTTAGGGGGCGGGAGGCTAGAGACAATACCATCAAAACCGTCCTCCTTATGCAACATGCTCAAAAGTCCAACACTCCTCTGTGCCTCCTGCCGGTGGATGCCGACAAGGCATTTGACCGACTAAGTTGGCACTTCCTCAAGCAATCCCTGTTGCAGATTGGGGTCCGACCCCTCATGCTCCGTAACATTATGGCCCTATACTCTCGTCCGTCGGCGCGGGTCCGGGTCAATGGCTCTCTATCCCCAAGATTTCAGATCGCCAACGGCACCAGGCAGGGATGTCCGCTCTCCCCCCTCCTTTACGTGCTCACTATGGAGCATTTGGCTGTCGCCATACGCCAAAACGTAACGATCCCAGGACTGACTGTGGGACCCATCCGCTCCAAGATGGCGCTCTTTGCAGACAATTTGCTCCTATACGTGACTAATCCACACATAGCTATGCCCTCTATCTTACAGGAGTTTGCCAGTTTTAGCATGTGCAGCAACTTCAAAGTGAACCTGTCCAAATCAGAAATACTCAATGTATCGCTGGCGGCCAGGGAACTACACGCGCTTCAAACGAACTTCCCGTTTCGAATATGCCCCACTTCTGTGAAATATCTCGGGATCCACCTTTCCGCTGATCTTTCTCAGCTGTTCGCCTTAAATTACGACCCACTCTTCCGGAAAACCTCCCAGGACCTATCTGGATATGATCGGAAAAACATCTCATAGCTGGGTAGGATAAATGCATTCAAAATGGATGTTGTTCCCAGATTTCTATACCTTTTCCAGGTCCTGCCGATTATTCCCCCTTCATCCTTTTTCAAAAATCTACAGCAGATCTTCTCGAAGTTCATCTGGGGCTCGTCCCGTCCCCGAGTGAAATACAAAACCTTATCTCTCCCCAAGCTTAAGGGGGGGGGGGGGGAGGGGGCGGGAGCCCCAGACATCCGTATTTATCACGCTGCTTCGCATCTCGGATTGGTTCCACAGGGCTACTAACAAGCAGTGGGTCCTGATTGAGGAGGCGATCGCGGACTCGGACCTTAGGGCGCTCCCATGGATCCCTACGGCTTCTCGGGTCCTACCATCGCCCCCGCCTATCTTGACTCTTCATACACTACGACTGTGGGACCGCTGGGTATCTCACTGCGGAATCTCCTCCTATACCGGACCCATGACCCCCCTCTTTAACAACCCGGCCTTTCTTCCAGCCCTCCACAGGTCCTCTTTTGGGAGATGGAATAGGGACTCTCATAGACGTTTGGTGGTGGCCACACGGGAGAGCATGTCAGATGCCCCGGTGGGAGCTATGTGGTTTAGAGGATCGGCAATTCCAATCCTTTGTGACCTCCTTTCCTCAACCAGAGGCTCTTGAAGCGGAACCCACGGCCTTTGACTCCCTACTCCTTCAGACCTCCCCTCCTACTCACACCATCTCACTGCTGTACTCCCTCCTCTCTGCATCAGCCTTCCCGGGACGTCCGGGATATGTCCAGAAGTGGGAAAGAGAGTAGAACCTCACTATTAGTGAGGAAGACTGGGACAGATCTTTCGTTCTTTCGCACTCCCTTTCCATTGCAAGTAAGGCTCATGAGAAGAACCTGAAAATTCTGACCAGATGGTATAGATGCCCTGCAGTACTACACCGCTACTACCCACAAGTACCTGACTCCTGTTGGCGTTGCCAGGCCTCACCAGGCCACATGACTCACATCTGGTGGAGCTGCCCCCTGATCAAAGCGTTTTGGCAAAAGGTGTTGGATGTGTATCACAGAGTGACGGGTTCAGTGGCCCCCAATGACCCCATAATAGCCCTGTTAACTATGATACCAGGCTCTCTGAAATCTGTAAAACGGGGGCTCCTGCGGCACTT